AATCATCTAATAACAATATTTACTAAAAGTTGTATAAGATTTTGAAAAGATGAGGAACATTAAGAAAATTTTAAATATATCATATTTAAAATATAATATATTGCAAAAGTTATGCAAATATATATCTTTTATTTAGAAAATAAATTCATATCAGTCTTATAAAATTTAATGATCGGGACAATCGGCTGCACATTCCAAATGTAATGGAAGTTACGAAATGTAACAGAATCGAAAATCATCTAAGCTGCCAATTCATCGTCGACAAATGCATATTAAAAATATATAAAATAACTATAACAAAATAAGAAGATATTAATACAAGAAGATATCAGACAAAGCATCTTAAAAAAAATGCAATATAGTCTTTGATGAAAATAACAAAAAAGGATATATTATATCGTAAAATTATTGCGTCCTAAGATCGCAATAATATTAATAAAAAAAAGTTATAAGAAACATAAGCAACAACGAATTTTGTACATTATAAATAATTCAATACTATGATCATTTGTAACGAAACCTACCAGAAATGATTTTGTATCAGAATTTGGAAAAAATTTTCGGTAAGAGATAATCTAGCCCATGCACTTTGCCACTACATGTCGCGGTAACTCACAATTTGGCGTTTAAATTCTTCCACCTCGTCATCGACGCTGGCCCGGAGCTCTTTCAGTTCCGTAGCCATCTCGTCAATGTCTTCTGTCATGCGCAAAAGCTTAGCGTCTTTTGTAGTTATAACAATATTGTTCACCTCTATCTCGGCTTCTAGCTGTTTGATTCTGTGTTTAAGTTTCTCTTTCTCCTGCTCGACTTGTCTGCGCTCCAGTCCTTCCTCGCCTACTTGCCTACTAAGTCTGCCAACTTGCGTTTCAAGACTAGAAATCTTGCCAGACCAGCAAGTCTTTATATCGGAGAGATGAAGATGCGCCTCTTCCAACTTCCTTTCCAACAACGTCCTCTCGCGCATTAGATCGGCTATTCTTTCGTCAACCGTCACTTGGTCGTTTGTTTCCAGAGCGATCCTTTGCTCCAGCACGAACACTTTGTCCTTCAGATGACGTACTTCCTCCTCCGTATGTGCTAACTGACAGGAAAGCTGCGCTTTCTCTCGCTGCGTAGAATGACGCATCGTCTCCATTTCATCCTGAAAGTGAACATTGGTTACCAAACATTGTTCGCTGGGCTTTTTTATTAGAATATATTTAGCTTTATTTTTTTCTTATAAAGCCTCCCTGGCAAATCTTATCAAAGCCATAATATGCGAATTAAATTTCGCTAAATCAGAAATAAGAGATAATATATCATTCCATGAGACAAAACAGCAAAAATACGAAAAGGCAAACGAAAAGCAATAAATCTAACGTTCGCCTAGTGTCAATATTTCTCGATTTTTTTTTTTTTATTAGAGTTAAAATAACAATTATATATTAAAACATAATTCCTTTCCGCATTTTTTTTTTTTTTTTAATGCAAAACAATAAAACTAATTAAGTTAATATAACTTTCTGTATAATTAAAAGATATCTCATGAAAGTATAAAATCCACAAAAGAGAAAAGAAAAACAAAAACTTTGTCTCATATCTGAATATAATAAATGATGCCACAATTAAGTGTGTAATACATGCATTATTATCAGGTGTAGAGTTTGCTTCAGTTTTTATTGAATATTAAGAATTTATATTCCAAATATGTTGAAGCAGGCATAAGCAATGAAGCTATTGCATGATCATTCTAGCATAACGAACAGAATAGCGGCGAAGCCTTAAAAACGTACCTCTAGCATCAGCGATAGCAGCAACGAATTAGCGGAAATAACCGCCTAACTCTGATCTTCGATGCTCTCGTTTACCAAAGTTTTCCAATCTTCATGCGTGCGTTGTATTCACAGAACTTTTGATATCACTTTTAACAACGCTATTGTTCCATAACTCAAAGAAATTGTCTCCTATTGTATCCGACGATATTACGTGAATGTATATGTATATGGAAAATATATATCCATAAATCCCAAAAATAAGATCGGTTATTCATGCAAGAACATCAATTATTTTTGGATTAAACAGAAGAATTAATATCACTCCTTAACAATTTGCAAATATAATTTTTTTGCGAACACAATAGTAACTGTAATGAATTAGTTTGAAAGTCTTCCAATTAAGAGATTAAACAGCACAGTATATATGAAAATTATTAAGTTATAATAAAATTGTTATTACATCTAAGAGTTATGGAACACACGTAATTTTAATTTGTTTTACTACAGCAAGAGTCACATGTAATATGTATGTCATGAGTTTATGTTTCAGCGGCATGTCAATAATAAAAGGTGCAGAAAAAACTATAGCAACTGTGACGAAACAAAAAGCGAGGTAATAGTCAAAAACATTAATACAAATACAAAGTATATAAATACGTAATATATAAATATAAAATCCCTTATTTCTTTCTTACTCTAAATATAAAAAACCTTTCTTCATAAATAAGCGTGCTTAAAAATGCGCCAATTCTGAGCTATCAACAATCATTTATATTACTTTAATGTATAGTTTACCCATATATTCAATTTACATATCGTTCAATTGATTAACTGCGGAAAAATTAAAAAGAGTTACATTTTAAATTAGTACTCTTAATAAGCACTGCTAATATTTTACATATCATATCTTTACATGCCAGTTCAAAAAATACATAATAGTAAAAAGAAGTACAAAGAATTGCTTTTTGTATATTTTAATGTATAATATATTTTATCGCTTAAGCCTGTTTTTCTTATAAAAATGATGATATTAGAAAAATGCATCAATTGAGTAAAAAAATTCCTTGATTTACCAGGTTTTTTTTTCTCAAAATTCTAGGTAAAGAGAGAATATTTTAAAGATTTTAGTGCGATTTCCTAAAATAAGTTTTTTTATTGTATGCGTTTTCTAATGTTTTTCACTGTACCGAAAAAAAATTGAATAGCTTTCATAAAATAAACATTTTTCTAATCCTAAATAGCGTCAATCGGGGTCCAATCGTGAAGTTTACATCGTACCAATTGGATAATATCCAATAATTACGTGCTCAATTGAGCAATGCCTACGCCCGTATTCATAGTCTCCCGTCTTATATTTAAGATTATATTAAAAACAAGGGCTGTGGAATCTTAAGACGATCTAAGACCATAATTTTAAGATGATCTTAAATATAAAAACAGACTATGAATAAGAACGGGTCCTAATTTGGATATATTGTTATGTGGTCAAACATAATACGCCAGCGCGCACGCACGGCAAAAGAGAGGTGCTAATTAGAGAGATGCGAATTTCCCCCTCTCACACACATACATACACACCCGCACGCTCGCGTGTGTTGCCACACACACACAACGTATTTAAAAAAATAATGTTGAGAAACAAAAAGTTGTTTCTTATACCACTTATACAAGTGGTATATATTATATAAAATAAAAAAGCATATAATTTATGAAAATTCACAAATTTTCTTTAGTTTTAATAGTATGTATAATAATATATAATATATATTCCATAACAAGCTCTAATAATTATATTTAAATAATATTAAAAATATTATAAAATATGCGACATAATTAAATTATTTAAAAAATTAACAAACCGTTTATGTAAATAATAATTAATAAATTTGAATAAATAAAAAGCTTTAAACTTATAATCCAATCAACTTACTTGTATATTGTTTAATTCGTCTTCATATCGTCTAAGACGGGAAACTTCTGTCTTCAAACTTTCTATTTCCGCTGTAGCAGTTTTTAAATGATACGTCTTTTCCTCTACTTCCTGTTCTTTTGCCAACAACTGCAAAAAATTATCATTATATACTTAATCTAATTTGTCTCAATTAATAAGATATATTAGAATTAAAAAAATTATATACAGAATGCAAAAACGATAGTAACCAAATAATAGATGATTTTTCATGCAAAAATGGAATCAAAGATAATATTTGGTAAAAATTTAATTGTTTTTATTTAAAGAATTTTTTTCATAATAATGCTTTTGCGTTCGTTAAATTTTAACGAATTTTGACAACTTTATGCCATACATTATTGGATTCACCTTGGCAATAACCATAAATATATAAATAAAATTAAATATATGTAAAAAATTTAAAATAAATATACTATATTTCAAAAATTTAATCACGCTATTGCAATAAATTTAAAATAAATATACTATATTTCAAAAATTTAATCACGCTATTGCAATACCCAATGCCCCAATTTTTTTAACAATATACAGAATTTTGTTAAAAATATATGTACATCTATATATACAGGGTGTATATAGAATAGAAGTATATAGAATAGAAACAAAAAGTCATAATCAATCTTTCTTATATACATTATTATTTTAATATCACGTACAAGATGTTTAACTTTTGCCATCTCTTGTGTTTGAAAACCTTCCAGTTGTTCTGCATCTTCTTGAAAGCTATACAACTTCTTTTTATATTCTGAAACATAACGTGAGAAAAAATGATGTATACATATATATATACAGTCCAAAATAGAAATCCAACCAAAACCAGAGGAAAGTAATTTCTCATTCATTTCAAGATATGAAAAAAATTTAAAGTTTCAGTAAACATAAGATCAAAAATGTGTTGTTTTAAAGTTACACTGATTTGAAATATAAAATATTTAAGAAAAAATCATTTCAAGCATTTACTTAAAAATTTTTATATATGGGCTTGTGTGCTTTAACTAACTAATCAGCTTTCTAGTCTTACTTTAACTACTTACTTTTAAATATATTAGTTTTTTTAAGCTATAAAAAAGAAAATGATTGCAGCTTTAATGTTCATAAAATGCTGATTCTCTATTTTTCCTTAATGATAAAACACGCTAAATAACTAACAATAAGAATTATGACAAGATATCCTTGTAATATATATA